AAATCTAACCTTGATACGCGCCAGTAGTGTCATGTCTCTGACTTTGCATGGACTTTTCAAACGACCCTCGTAAATGGCATCTTTGTAGAGTTGATGGCATTAACCCATTAACGAGAAAATTATCGCGATGACATTGACTCTTTAATAATCTATAAAAATTGTGTCGATAAGCGAGCACGTGGACAAACATAAGTACAAACCTGTTTGCGTTTGAGTTGGGCGTATGCAAATACGGTCGCGTATACATATCTTTTCCGTTTAACATGTCGCCTCTGGCTAAGAGAAGCGTTCTTGCATCCTCTCCCTTTGCTATCCGCCGCAAAGCGAAGAAGATCGCTGGCATTGGCAAGGGTACAAGCCACGCTTGCTTGCGCGTCGTTCGCTCGGTGTGTCTGCGAAAACTATGGCCTTCACTCGATTCTATATGATATTAACTCTTCTTCTTCTTCTTCTAAACTGCGTCGTACAGGGAGTGTATGAAATCTCTCGTCGAGGTGCCAATTTAATCGATCTTAAATTGATTTTTATCGTACAACGTGCGTTTCATAAATTATCTTTTTTTTTTTCTCTAGATTCTACCTCGACGACAAGCAGTCCTTTATGGAGTAGTTCAACCAAGAGGCCATCCACCAAAGTTACCAGACCAACTTCAACAATAAGAACGACGACAACGTCAATAGCAACCACGAAGCCCACCACGTCGAAACCTATCGTTGTAGAACCGACGCAAAAACCATGCGAACATGGACAATATTATCCCTATCCAAATTCGTGCACAAGTTTTCTGGTCTGTGTGAACGGCGATCTTGTTTCGCAGCAGTGCGGTCCAGGTTTAAATTGGAACACCGACAAGAACATGTGCGATTGGGCCTTTAAAAGCCCATGCGTCAATAAACCTCATAAAAATGCCTTGCTCGTGGAAAAAGACACCGTAAGTGTCCCAACTGTAAGTAACGTAAATAATAAATTATATAATAGCGCTGAACCAATGATCATTTAGATATTAATTATTAATACATACAGATATTAACACAACATTCTCTCATTGTTAGTCAGACACAATCTTTTCTATCACACCTCCGCAGTATGTACATCCGGTTTATTCATCATTTTAATTTATTCGTTTATTGCAGAATAATTCAATAATTGATATTAACATCAAGTATTATTATTGTGATTACGTTAGACTTGCATCACCGGCAGCTACAGTAGTGTACCGGGTGACTGTACGAGCTACCAGGCGTGTCTTTGGGGCCGCCAGGAAGTGTTCAACTGCGCGCCAGGTTTGCACTTCAACAGGAAGACTCATATCTGTGACTGGCCGTCCCGGGCGGAATGCACGGACGACGATGGCGACAAGGAAATTACCACGCAGTCGGCAACATCCTCGCGGCCATCAATCTCGGAGAAACCAATCACCCACCCAGAATTTACTACGGAAAAGGCCCCGACTACGTCGACCACGAGTCAACCTACGTCGACTTTGTCTCCAGCGATTATAGACCCCGACAAGGTTTCCCCACTGTCCGGCTACTACAAGGTTGTGTGTTATTTTACCAATTGGGCTTGGTATCGTCGTGGAATTGGCCGTTATTTGCCAGAACATATCGATCACACTCTATGCACGCATATCGTGTATGGTTTCGCGGTGCTGGACTACTCCGAGTTGGTAATCAAGGCGCACGATTCTTGGGCGGATTTTGACAATCGTTTCTACGAGCGGGTGGTAGCGTATAAAAAGCGAGGTCTTAAGGTGCTTCTCGCGCTGGGCGGATGGAACGACTCGGCCGGTGACAAGTACAGCCGATTGGTGAACAGTCCTTCCGCTAGAAAGAAGTTTATCAATCATGCCCTTCAGTTTATCAAAAAGTATGACTTTGACGGATTAGACATGGACTGGGAATATCCCGTTTGTTGGCAGGCGAGTGCATTTTTTTTCATTTAATAACATTAACGCAAACAATAACAAGTTCAAATTCTTTGCTTATCATCTCTGTACATACGTGTTTATACTCTTTATTTTTATTATCTCTATTTCGAATAGTGTTTTAGTAAAAACTATATTATAAATCTCTACTTCAAATCTTTACTTTTTTATTTATAATATTTTTTTTATTTATTTTTTTTTACATAATTTATTGTAAATTGTTTATAATCGTTTTTATTTATTCATAACTCTTTCCAAATTTTTCCAACAGGTAAATTGTAACAAGGGACCAGATTCGGATAAAGAAAGTTTTGCAGCTCTCTTACGCGAATTAAGTGCTGAATTCAAACCGAAAGGATTACTTCTCTCGGCAGCGGTTTCGCCGAGTAAGAAAGTAATCGACAAGGGCTACGACGTGCCGTCGTTAGCCAAGTATCTGGATTGGATTGCTGTCATGGGATATGACTACCATGGGCAATGGGATAAACGAACTGGTCACGTTGCGCCCTTATATTATCACCCGGACGACGAGTTTTATTATTTCAACGCTAACTATTCGATCAACTATTGGATCTCAAAGGGCGCGCCACCCAGGAGTATTGTCATGGGAATGCCGTTGTATGGACAATCCTTCACGATCAACGATCCAAGCTCTGGGACTGATCTAAATTCTCCGGCCAGCGCCGGAAACGCCGGAGAGTTCACTCGAGCTGCTGGTTTTCTGGCTTACTATGAAATCTGCGATAGAATACTCAATCGCGGTTGGACGGTGGTACAAGATCCAGAAGGTAGAATGGGACCGTATGCCTACAAGGGCAACCAATGGGTCAGCTTTGACGATTCAGAGATGATCAGACGGAAGGCGCAATTCGTGCGCGACATGGATCTAGGCGGCGGTATGGTGTGGGCTCTGGATTTGGACGATTTCCGTGGACGATGTGACAACGGACCTCATCCATTGATGCATACGATCCAGCGGGTGCTAGCGGAACCACCGAAGGAGCACGATAAGCCTCTGCAACCGCCATCGGTGTCGGCACCATCCCCATCGATGACGACGTTGATCGTTGAACCTACGCAAGCGATACGACCAACTACTACGGTGGATCGCGTTACACAGGACAGTTCCAAGAATGACGAGTTTAAAGTCATCTGTTATTTTACTAACTGGGCCTGGTATCGACAGGAAGGTGGCAGATTTGTACCGGAGGATATAGATCCCGAACTCTGTACCCACGTGCTTTATGGATTCTCCGTACTCGACGGTAGCAGCTTAACGATGAAGTCTCACGATCCCTGGGCCGATATAGATAACAAGTTTTACGACAGAGTGGCAGCATTCAAGGCAAAAGGTTTAAAAGTGCTGATGGCGTTGGGTGGTTGGAACGATTCGGCCGGAGACAAATACAGCAGATTGGTGAACTCACCGTCGGCTAGGCGACGATTCATTACGCAACTTCTTCTCTTCATCGAAAAATACGGCTTCGAGGGCCTTGATCTCGACTGGGAGTACCCGGTATGCTGGCAAGTGGACTGTAACAAGGGTCCGGAGTCTGACAAGCAAAGTTTCGCTGAACTGATCAAGGAATTGAGCGATGAATTCAAGCCGCGAGGATTGCTTCTCTCTGCGGCTGTTTCGCCGAGCAAGAGAGTGATCGATGCGGGATACGATGTTCCCATTTTGTCAAAATATCTGGATTGGATATCCGTGATGTTGTACGATTTCCACGGTCAATGGGATAAAAAAACCGGTCACGTAGCACCATTGTATAGTCTTCCGAACGACTGGGAACCGACATTTAATGCCGTAAGCTTTACTTTGATTTGATTACTTACATTAAGAGTTACACTAATTTCGAAAGTTTTAAATCTTCTGGATACTCACCTCAGCCATATTGAATCGTGACGTCATTAGCGAGAAGTGACACGATGATTTTTATCTTGAACATATCATTTGTAAATAAAGACAATTTGAATAAAACAAAATAATGAGATCGCTGCAGTAAAACATTTGTAAAAATGGTCTGATACTATGTCGTTATCTCCCCTGATAGTAATAATAAGTGAATAGTCGAAAAACATTTGTGAAGTGAAAATAGGCTGCGCATGCGTATTAAGGATAAAATAGTAAACGTATTTTACGATTATTTACTGACTACCGGAGGGATAATGACAGTGTCTCAGCCCACTTTTACAAGTGTTTTACAGTGATCTCATTATTTCATTTTATCCAATTTGTCTTATTTATTTATAAATGGCGTGCAAGAAAATCAATGTGTCGCTTATATAATATATTTCTCGCTTATGACGTCATGATTCAATACTCTCTCGGCTGAGGTGAATATTCGCAAGAGTTTTAAAACCACATTGATTTTTTTCCACTAGAACTTCTCGATCCATTACTGGATAGAGAAAGGTGCAAATCCGAAAAAGTTAATTATGGGCGCTCCATTGTACGGCCAATCATTTTCACTTGCTGACAGAAATGTGCACGGATTAAACGCGCCAACCTATGGGGGTGGCGAGGCTGGAGAAGCGACCAGAGCAAGAGGTTTCTTGTCGTACTACGAGGTCAGTGTTTTCGAAAAAGAAATATTAAAAATAAAAATAGAAATAAATAGAAATATTAAATGAGTTTCTAATAAGTACATATATTATATAATAATGTTAATTTTTAGTGCCCTGTAAAAGATATTTATTTCTAAAGTAAATTTGCATTCTTTTATATTAATATAAATACTTACACTTTTTTGCTTTATGGTAGATATGTGAAAGAACGTTGAAGAAGGGATGGACAGTTGTTCAAGATAAAGAGAGAAGAATTGGCCCCTACGCCTACAAGGGTGATCAATGGGTAAGCTTCGACGACGCTCAACAAATCAAACTGAAAGCAGAATTAATCAAGAAACTTGGCCTCGGCGGCGGTATGATTTGGGCCTTGGACTTGGACGACTTTAAGAACAGATGTGGATGCGAACCCAGTCCGCTATTAAGAACGATGAATCGAGTTTTGAGGAACTATCCAAAGGGCCCGCTGTGTCCCATTACGGAAGGTAAATGTATTGATATCGTTTTCAAAATCAAAAAATATTTCACTCAATCTGACTTGTAACGTACGAGTATATGACAAATATGTCGCCGTGCTTGTCTTAGCGCCGAGGCACTACGGCGTACATGTCTCCTGATAGAAAAATATATATAATAACTTATTTTATATTATACATTTAAAAGATACATAAATATTACACTATTTTCTCCATATGATTTTTTAATAACATTTGAATATCATCTTTTATGATCAACAGGTACAGAAGTGGTTGTAATCGATGTCGGCCAGAGTAACATCGAATCTACAACTGTCACCGAACATCCTACATACGAATCCATTACATCACCAAGACCTACATATATTCCATCAGCAACAATCCCAACAACGACTGAATTAGATCCAAATATAGATGATACCATCGAGATCGAAGCCAGCCCATTACCTCCAGCGGACTGCGGAGGACATTTATTCATATCGCACAAAAGCGACTGCACCAAGTATTATCTGTGCAACTTTGGTAAGATCTCGGAACAGTCCTGTCCACCTGGACTTTACTGGAATGAAGACCGATGCGACTGGCCAGAGAACACTAAATGCAATACTGCTGAGCGTGAAGTATGTATCTACTAATGACGAATATAAGTTCTTAATTAGCGAATTATTTTAATACAAATGTAAAGCACGTTGCAGAATGAAAACAAAACCGTGAAATTTATTCTGTCGATTTCATAGAGCAGCCTATCGCCGAGATCGAGACTTGCCAAAAATGTAAATGAAAAAAAAATAGTTTGTTACTACACGAATTGGGCTTGGAGGCGCGCAGGCTTTGGCAGCTTCACTCCCGAGGACATCGACGGGACGCTTTGCACGCACCTCGTGTACGCCTTTGCTACGTTGGAAGAGTCGTTTCTTCTAAACATCGATGACTCCGACAATGTCTACAGGAGTTTTCTCAATAAAACGGCGGAAATTAAAAGAAGAAACGGCGTTAAGGTGTTGCTCGGTTTAGGCGGATGGAACGATTCAGAGGACGACAAGTATAGCAGATTGATAGGCAGTCCGCAGTCGACTAGAAAAAATTTTGCTAGCTATGTCGTAAGAATCATCGAGCAGTACGGATTCGATGGACTTAATCTTGATTGGGAGTTTCCGGTATGCTGGCAGGTAAGCCACTGTAATGTCCTCCCTTTTTCTCAGTGTAATTGTAATAATTCTTTCAACATAAATTATCAAGGAATTTAACTAAAAGAGATTTTAAAAATTTGAAGGAGATTTCAATTTTGAGATAAAGATTTTGCCAAAAGATATTTTATTAATATCGGACAAGAAACTATTTTTCAAACACTCTCTCTTTTTCAGTAAAATTTTCTATTTATTAATAGATCCCAAATCCCCATTAGATTAAGGATGCTGTAATTGTAGCAATCAATTAAAAACAAAATATCTCGGACAGGGCGACTGTAGCCGCGGTCCTAAGGAGGACCGCGAGAACTTTGTCGAATTTCTCAAAGATCTTAGCGAAGCGTTTACATCTAGAGGACTTTTGTTATCCACCGTGGTCTCAGCGAACAAGATCGTCATCGACCGGGGCTACACCCATATTCCGCTTTTAACACGGTACGTGAATTGGATCGGCGTGATAGCGTACGACTATCACACTGGCATGGGAAGCGAAACCGGCCATGTCGCGCCGCTTTATCATCACCCCGACGATATCAGTCCGTTCCTGAATGCGAACTTTTCTGTGACATACTGGATCAACAAGGGCGTGCCGGCCGAAATGATCGTCCTGGGCATACCCACGTACGGATCAAGTTTTACCTTGTCTGACAAGTCTCTGAACAGACCGGGCTTCCACGTGAAGGCTGATGGACCTGGAGAACCCGGCAAATTTACGAAATCGGCTGGGTTCCTAGCATATCACGAGGTAAGAATTATTAACCAGCTACGCTGTCGATTAATAAATCGAATCGCAACAACAGGACATTATTTATTAATTGTTTCACTCGATTTCGTATCGCTACGCAAGATATGTGATAAAGTGAAGAACGACAGCTGGTCCGTGACGAAAGATTCGGAGGGCCGCGTGGGACCGTACGCGTCGAAACGTGATCAATGGGTCAGCTATGACGATGTATCTAATGTAGCAAAAAAGGTATGTGTGTAATATATGAGGAACACATGACATATACATCATTCCTTCGTTCACAAACGGTTCGTTATGCAAATGCATGATTCATTATGTAAACTATTTGCGATTGCAAACTGCAATCATCGAGTAACAATTCAGTATTATTTTGCAATCTTAAAGCGTTTGATAACTCGATCTCGATTCGTTTACTTACGTTATACATACGTTCGTATTTCTATCAAATTTATTTCGACCTCGTAATTATATACATACGTATGTATGAATTATCTGTCTCACTCTCAGGCTGAGTTAATAAAAAAGCTGAATCTCGGGGGTGGAATGATCTGGTCCTTGGACTTGGACGACTTCAAAGGCCTGTGTGGATGCGGAAAGTATCCACTCTTGACAGCTCTGAATAATGGACTCGGAAGAGGGAACGGTCACACAACGGACTGCACTTGAGTTGCGAAATCGCGATAACGTAAAAGGGCGATAACGTCTCGAAGGATTTTTTTATCGCTCAAGAGTCCATGATTTTATTTGGCAACGTTATTTTATTTCTTATCTCTG